TTTATAGAAAAATTGCCTTGCCAGGGGCTTTGGTGCTGTGCAATCATCATAAACACAACAAAAAACTCAGTATGTTATAATCACAAATGTTCCCAAACCACCAAAACAAATACCTCTTGTTCCCATCCAAAACTATTTAACACCCTCCTCTGAAAAAGCCTGGGAAAAATAAATAAGCCGCAGGCAGCCCTCAAGGTCACCAAATCCAAGCTCATTCAGACCGCTGCGCCTGGCCCGCCACCAGCCCACTCTCCTCTAAACGCAGGGCCTATTAACTTGCATGCCTCAGCAGAGCACAGCCATCATGGTATCCCAGGAGGGAAGGGATTTGTAAAGCTGCCAGGACCAAATCACAGGGCTAGATCACTGTGTTACCACGAGCCCTGTGCAATATGCAGCACATGGCTGCACTGCCTGGGTCAGAGCGGGGAAAGGACTGTTGTTCAGAAAGTCAGAAATCACTTCCTGGTTCCCCAGTTACACCAGAAGGGAATTCAGCTCAGGAAGCCCGTTAGCTGCCACAGCTGATTTCCCCCTCCACGTTGGCTGGCATATGGAGGGAGACAGAGCCACAGCTCTGCCCATTCACCACCCTCTGTGTCCTACATGTGCAGCAAGACGTAGCCTTGTGGAGGCTGCTTTCCCTCCAGTCCTGTGACCTATGAGGGGAGGAAGGGGCTTTCATACACTTCCCCAGCTTGGGAGCATACCTTGGCTCATGATCTGGTCTATAGGGCTTTGTAGATGAAGCAGTTATGCACCCTGGGCAGTAATGATGGTTCTTTAAGATGTGTGTCCCTGTGGATTATCCACTCAGGTCTCAGTGCGTCCTCGTGCTGGCGATCGGAGAATTTTAGCCATCCCGCGCTGCTCATGCACTGCAGCTGTGTCGCGCTGTTTTGGTCTGTTAGCTGTACATGTTGCGCAAGTCTCCTTCAGTTCCTTTTCTTCCGCAAATCCTACAATGGATGCCAAAGTAGAGGGGAGGAAGGGTGGGTAGTGGCACACACACAGGGACACGCATCTCAAAGAAACATCGTTACTGCACGGGGTGAGTAACTTCTCCTTCGAGTGGTGTCCCTGTGGGAGCTCCACTCAGGTGACTGAAAAGCAGTACCCACAGTAGTGGGGGTGGGTCTTTGGAGTTATGTGCCAGAAGAAGGAAGGACAGCGTCACCCATAGATGTGGTAGGTACCGGTTGTGCAAAGGTATGTGAGGAAGACTATGTAGTGGTCCTGCAGATGTCAGCTAGCAGTACATTGTGTAAGAAGGCAGTGGATGCAGCCACCGCCCTGGTGGAATGCGCAGTGACCAACTGCGGTGGCTCTCTGCTTCAGAGTCCATAGCGAGTATTTATGCAAGTTGCTATCCATCTGGATATGCATTGTGCCTAGACAGCTTCTCCCGTGGTAGGGCTGGGCATGGATATAAAAAGTCTGTATGAGTGTCTGAAGGGTTTAGTACTATCTATGTAGAATGCAAGCGTTCTTCTTGTATCAAGGGTGTGTAGTATCACTTCCCTCAGAGAGTTGTGTGGTTTCGGATGGTAAGTGGGTGAGTAGAAGGGTTCATTGATATGGAAATCGGAAATGACCTTCAGTAAAAACTTAGGATGGGGTCTGAGGATAATCTTATCTTTGGTGAACAGTGTGTAGGATGGTCCCGACATAAGGACTGCGATCTCCTCCACCCTTCCTGCCGACATGATAGCGACAAGAAAGGATACTTTCATGGCCACATGTTGCCCTGAAGCTGTCGCTAAAGGATTGAAAGGTGGTCTTGTTAAGAAGTCCAACACAAGGTTTAGGCTCCATTGTGGAACAAGTGGACGTAGGTGGGGTCGTGCTTTTGACAGGCCGGATAGGAACCGATTGGTGATGGGATGAGCGAAGACCGAGATGTCATTTATCGGCTCATGGAAAACAGTGATGGCTGAGAGACAGGCTCGTATGGAGCTGATGGATACTCCCGTGTCACTAAGATCCATTAAGTATTCCAGTATGGTAGGTATTGATGGTATGGTATAGGCTTGTAGATGGCTTGGCTGCACCATTCCTGAAATCTCTTCCATTTGTTTTGATAGGTTTACCTTGTGGAAGGGCAGTAACTGCTGTTTCACCCTCTGGGAGCAGGTTAGCTTGTCATTCTGTGGTGAGCTTCAGATTCTGAGGGTTCGGGTGGCACATTCGTCCATTGTGCTGGGTTAACAATTTGGAAGTGATCGAGAGGGGCATAGGGTTTGTGATTGACAGGTAATGGAGGTAAGGAAACCAATGCTGTCTCAGCTGCTATGGCATTATTAAGATGACCTTCGCTCAGTCTGCCCAGATCTTGTGGATTACCCTGGGAATCAGGGGAAAAGGGAGAAATGCATATGAAAGAGGAGCCATCTATGATATGATGAACATGTCCCCTAGGGAGTGTTTGCCTTGGCCCGCTCAGGAACAGAAGCAGTGACATTTGCGACTGACTTTCGTGGCAAAGAGGACTATGCCTGGGAATCCACATTGTTGGAGTATAGGCAGGATGATTCTCAGACTGAGCTCCCACTCATGCTGTTGAAAAAACTGTCTGCTCAGTTTGTCTGCTCTGGTATTCTGCTCTGGTTGACCAGGTATGTACATTGCAATTGCTGTAATGTTCTTCACGCACCAATTCCAGAACTTGATTTCCTCGGCACATAGTGAGCATGATTGGGCACCCCCCGACTGTAGATTTAATGCATACATGAAATGTTGTCCTTGAGGACACGTACAGTACAGCCCTGGATGAGTGGTAGGAAATGGAGGCAAGTGTCATGGACCGCCTGGAGTTCCAAAATACTGATGTGCACTCTTGTCTCTTGGTGTGACCATCTGCCCTGCACCTTGTGGTGCCCGCAGTGAGCTTCCCAGCCTAGAAGGGAAGCATCTGTAATGATTATCTGCGAGGGATCTGGGTGATGGAAGGGGACTCTGGAGAGAAGTTTGTGTGGGCAAGTCCAGCATCACAGTGATGTCAGCACTAGAGCTGTGAGTGTAACTCACTTGGCGAGGTTGTGTCGGTAGGTAATATACATAGATGCCAGCCAGGCTTGTAGGCATCTCATGTGAAGTCTCACTAGGGATACTATGAAGGTCATGCCTGCCATGTTGTCCTAGGGCCTATAGGCATGTGTGGATGGTTGTTACTGGGGTGTGTAGAATGTTTTGTCAGTATCGCACAGGGCTCAGAGGGAGAAACGCCCTGACCACCATAAAATCTAATAGTGCTCCAATGAATTCTATTCTCTGGGTGGGATCCAGAGTAGATTTCTGTACTTTTATCAAAAACCCCAAGTGACTGAAAACATCTTGAGAAAGGTCATGATGTCATGATCATTGTGTGTTGTTGAGAAGACCCCTTGATTAAGCAATCATCAAGGTATGGGAATAGGATTACTCCCTGCTTTCTAAGGAAGGCTGTGTCTATGGCCAGGGTCTTGGAGAAGACAGGTGGTGCGTCGCTAGTCCAAAAGGGAAGACACGGTATTGGTAATGTTCTTTGCCCACCACAAACTGGAGGAACCTCCTGTGGGTTCCAGGTGTATTGTTATATGAAAGTACATGTCTTGGAGGTCAAGGTATGAGAACCAGTCCCCCTTGTTCAGTGTCGGAATGATGATTCCCAGTGTTATCATCCTGAACTTGTTGCGTATGAACTTGTTGAGCTTCCTGAGACCTAAGATTGGCCTCCATCTTTTTCGACATGAGGAAGTAGTTGGAATAGAATGTTCTTCCATGGAAATCTGGTGGAACTCGCTCTATGGCCCCTATGCTGAGCAATCTTTGAACTTCTGCCTTTAGAAGGGGCTTATGAGAGGGGTCCCTGAAGAGGGATAGGAAAAGGGGAATGGGAAGGGATTATAGACAGGAAGGGGATGGTATAGCCAGTTCTTATAATCTTGAGGACCTTAGTGATGAGAACCCATTGGTGGAAAAAGGGTCTCAAATGACAGTGGAATGTGTGGATGGTATGCACCGCTCATGCCTTCGACCACACCTTCACATTTGCTTCTTGGGAGTAGCAGACTGGGACATGGACACTTGGGCATGTTGAAACCTTCTGTTCATCGGTTGTTTGGACCTGTTGTGCCAGAGCAGTGCCTTTTCTTTTTGGTTCTGGCTCGGCACCTTTCATTGGTGCAGTTTTTCGTTTGTGCACTGCGCCAGATATTGACGGCACCGGGGAGCGTGCAGCACACAAAGCTGATAGCATGGCTGGCAAGGAGTGTGCCGGAGAGGCCTGGGACTTATGCGAATTCCATATGGATGATGAATTAGCCCTTTTTCTCGGTGTTACAGGTTCCGAGGGGGCAATAGTCTTGACTTCTGGTGATTGGAGAGATTTCTGCCAGAGCAAATTTTTAAGCCTCATCACCCGGTCAGGACTGGCCTTACCATGAGGCGAACTGAGGTGGCCGCCTCAGGTGTCAGACTGTGGGGTGGGGCGGGGCACCACAAGGATCCAGAGTGTAGAAAATTGTGTCTGCTGCTGCTATGTATTCTCTCTGCTCTAGATGCACAGAGATGGTGGAATGCTGTGCTGGAGGAAGGAAGGCACAAGAGACAAAACAGGCAGGCAGGAGAAAAGGGGGCATAGGGATGTCATTTGAGCTCCCCACCTCAGGTGCCAAACTGTTGTGGGCTGGCCCTGCTCCCGGTCTTTCCTGGCCCTGGCGGTCATTCTTTGGCAGGGTGGACATTTCTGCACCACGTGTCCTTCGCCTAGGCACTTTATACACGAAGCGTGCCCACCTGAGGTGGGCATTGAGTCTCTGCAGGAGTTGCATTTTTTAAAGCCAGGGGAGCCTGGCATAATTGTTAACTGGGACAAAGAACTTGGAATAAGGGAAAAAAAGAGGTAAAGAAAAAACAAGGCAGTAGCATTTTTTAAAAGAGAAACACTGGCTAATGAACTAATTACTAAACACTAAACAGACTAAAGCTAAGAACAACTAATTTCTCCTATCTTTTCTCAGCTGAGAAGAGCACTGCTGGACATACCATCTTCTGCAGAGCACGGTAGAAAAGGAACCGAGAGAGACTTGTGCCACATGCGCAGCTAACTGACAAAAAGAGCATAAGATGGCTGCTACACAGGTGCAGCGCAAGAAGGCACTGCTAGGCTAAAAATCTCTGATCGCTGGCACGAGGATGCACTAAACATCTGAGTGGAGCACGCACAGGGACACCACTTGAAGGAGAATTATACTTCAAAATACACCTGCAAATAAAATAGCAGCAATTTTCATTCACAACTACATTATAGCTGTCTAAAAAAGATCTGAGTTATCTGTAGAGGGATAGCTCTCTCCCAGCTGCTTAGATGACACTCTGATGAGATAAGAAAGTACTCAAACTTGGTCTAACTCTACTCTCGTTATTTTTCCATAGATTCAAGTTCCAATAGTGAATATTTTTGAAATTCTTGCCAAAAGCGTATTTTTAAAAGTCCAAAATAAAAAGCTGCAGGATCAGATCCTGTTCCCACTGAAATCCATGTTGTTGCTGCCACTGATTGCAATAAGCGCAGGGTCAGATTAATATACTCTTATGCCAGGATATTTCAAAGAACTTTACAAAAGATGTATAACAAAGTCATTATTGAGGCTTCAAGACTGACAACATCCTTAATATCACTGAGTGGGATTTCCAGAGAGAAAATGTATAATGATTAACGACCTGATGCAACAACTCTCATGCATAAAATCATGCACGTGTATACTGGCTTTGCTGGGGCCAAAACTAACAGTCACTGAAAATGACAAGTTTCATTAAAGATGAGATAAGAAAATGATTTCAGCTGACACTTTTGAGTGTAACTAAAGGTGTTACTAGAGCAGAGAAAAATCTTGGAGCAGTGTTCTATAGTAAATTACTTTATTTTAAATCTGATGAGCAACACCTATTGGTGCATCTGACCTGGTAGGGTTACATTGTGTGGTCCCATTTACAGAATTTCAAGGGGATACAAATGAAAAGCGTGTAACGATGTTTAAATGAGGGTACAGTGCATCTAAAAATGTGATTTTCTGTCACAACACTGAATAATAATGCAAAATTAAAGTAGGAGTTTAGAGAGAGTTGAAACAGTCTAATACTATCTGATGACACATAACCAAACCTCATTTACAGAAGGAATTAGAAGAAATGGTTAAATGATGGTCTATTTGTCAGAAAGCAACCCAGAATTAATTTGGTTTACTATTCATCAACCCACAATGCCCTCTTCTGTATACTAACATCACTATATCCCTGACAGGTTAGTAGAAGATTGCCTATTTTCATTTGTTGTCCTTGTTTTATTTCACCAGAAATTTGTTTCCGGTTCCATAGAGTCAGCATTCTATAGCCTATGTGGACAAATTGTATTACACTTGCTTTTCATCAGATTATATGAATTAGCTGAGAAGGAGTGGATTCAATTATAATGCAGATTCTAGGTCCCTATTTCAGTTCAGCCTCTTCTGTGCTAACTAAATGCCTAACACATTCCTTTCAATTTAATAAACTAGAACCAAATGAGGAACATAACACAAAAATAATACTCCCTCAATAAAATAACGCAATAAAATGGCAAAGCAAGTCCAAGGAGCCATATAGATCAAATATAGGACCCTTTGGTATTACTCAATAGATGTAAAATATCAACTTCACATTAAAACTTTAATTGTCCAAACCTTTCATTCTGAGTTGTAAAAGAGAGTTTGATGGGGGAGGGCACTTACACATCTGGCTCAATGTCTTCTGACAGCCTCACACAGCCAATAAAAAAAGTGTTGCACCGACATGGGAAAACTAATTTCCAGATTTAGAATAATCTTTTAACAATTTGAAGCAAATACTAAATCCTTCAAAAATGTGTGTGTTGGTTCTCCAACTGATCAAGAATAAATATCAATCACAAGTGCGGGAAGTGTCAATCTTTGATCCAAGCTATTTCCTCAAATATGCAAATTCTGTCAGAAGGCAAACCAGCATTTTGAAGTCACTTGAATAGACGTGCCATCCATTTTTGAGTGAGATACCAAACTAATCTGTCACATGTTATCTTTAGAGATGGAGGTATTATGACTACCAGAACATTTTGGTATCTCTAAACCTGGGCGTCTCCATTAGTGCAAGAGAATGATGCAGAAGTGAAGAGGAATTTGACATCAAAGACAAGAAGAAATGATGCGGAGATACAGAAAAGGAATAATATGGTCCTAGTTACAGTTGAAAATTACAGTCATAGGATTGGAAGGGATCTTGAGAGGTCCTCTAGTTGAGTCTCCTGCACTCACGGACTCAAGATGGTGTATTTACTAAAAGCATTTGGCTACACTTGAAAGGAAAGAGGTGGCAAAAGAAGAAGCCTTAGGGAGGTGGCTGACAAGGTGAGAGATAACCAAAGAATAGACAAAGGTTTTACGTGATAAATGAAAGAAGCTAAAATCGATACAAGGTGGCTTTGAGCAAGTCTCTAAATAGGGAAAAGATGGAGCACTATTCAACACAGCAAACAAAGGCAGCACAAGATCAAATGGATGGAAGTTAACATTCAGAGTAGAATTAGGAAACTGGAAGTTTTTAATGGAGGTTATTATATATCAGAACAGATTGCCAAGAGATGTAGGAAGTTCTTCATTAGTTAGAATCTTTCAGTCAAGACTGGATGCCTTTCTAAAAGACATATTTTAATTCAATCACAAGTTGCTGGGCTATATCCAGGAACTACTGGATGAAATTCAGAGGTTAAAATAGATGATCTTCACAGTCCCTTTTGGCCTTAAAATCTCTGATATATAGAAAACTGGCGGGGTGGAGAAGAAAATATGGCTGTTGCAGCTTATTGAATGGCATGGATAATTCAACAAAAAGAAGGCATCTAATGAAACTGAAGGGCAACACACTCAAAATGGTTAAAGGAAATACTTCTTGTACGTTCTATGTACATCTACACAGCAGCGTTACTTCCGAATAACTGATATTATTCCGAAATAACACAGTGCACGTCTACACTACACTATTATTTCGAAATAATGTCAAGCTGGAGGACTTCTTACTCTAATTCATGCTAACCCCCATTTCACAAAGAGTAAAGTAAGTCAAAGGAAGAGTGTTCTTCCTTCGAGTTCCTGCTGCATAGACAGTCCCTAAAACCGAACTAAGCTATTTCAACTTCAGCTACAAATTGACATGGCTGAAGTTGCGTAGCTTAATTTGACTTTAGCCTTGCAGTGTAGACATTATCCTGTATTATCAGGAGGGTGGTGAAATGGCAGAAGCCTTGCAAGAAGAGGTTTCCACCATTTTGGTTTAGCTGCTGGATATGAATTCAGACACAGCATGCTGTTGTGATTTGGAATCCAAATGTCA